TCTCCCGGCATCACCCGGGGGGTTGCCCCGGGGCTCCCTCCGGTACCGGCTCCGCGATGCTTATTATCGGTGACATCCCCCCTCCTCACCTCTCTCCCCGTTTCTTTAATTTCTCTTCTATTTAAACACGCAGCTCTGACCGACTCTGGGATAAACTCGGAGCGAGCTCTTGTTATTGGCTTTGAGTCAGAAGTGTCTGGAAGCTTTAATGAAAACCGAGTGTAAGGCAAGTCTGAGCCACCTGTCCCCGGGATCCCCAGCCAAGAGCCCTGGGCTCCCAGGAATCAGTGGATCTGCCTCTTGGAAAGTGGTTTTTTTGTATGCTGGACCTCTACCCTGGGGCGATCGCAAAGCGGAGTTGGGGACCTGGAAGCCCTCTGGTAATTTCTCTAAGGCAGATAGCAAAGCCGTGCTGGCATTGTCGGCAATTCTGCATTTTCAAAACTGTTGCAAAAGCCTTTGCGAGAAGGAGAAAAGGGGTAGGAAAGAAGTTCTTTATATTGCAGGTCTGCAGTCCTGCCCTCTCTCCCCAGGAGCAGCACCTCTCCCACCTCCCTGCTTCCCAAAGATGCTCTCTAGTTACTCTTCAAAGGAAATTAGCTCAGGGGAGAATTTTTTTTTTTTTTTTCTTTTTCTTACAGACATAAGCTGCTTTGATTGCCTGGAAGCATGATTTCCTGAAACCTGCTCCTTTCTGGCTCTTGCAGTGAGGCTGACAATAAAACGTATTGTGGTTTTGAGCTGGGTTTTTCTTTAAGAAAATGCCATTCTGGGTTACTTGCTTTCATGAGGCAGATGGAGAAAGGGATGAAAGGCTGGCACTTGGGACACTTCATTTCTGCTCTTTAATTGTGGGTGGTTTCTCTTCTATAAGAACATGCTTCTTCCCTGGGAATTGGTGGGAATTAGTGAAACAAATGAAAAAAAGGAAAAATTATGGCTGGTAACTGATTTTTTTTTTTTTTTTTTAAGCCTTTCATCTCATTCTTCTAGGAGTGGTTCTGTAAATGGGACTATTTAAATGCACTGCTTCTATAGATCCAGGGACACTTCTTGTTACTCACTGCCTCTTGTGCAACACTCGCTTTGATGTAAACCACACTCCCTTCCAAGACAGGCTTGGAGCCTCAGTTCATGCTGCTGGTATCAGGTGCAGCCACTGGGAACCAGTGCAAAGTTGTGGTTTGGAAGATGGCAGCTGAGATGGGATGTAAACTTGTACTGTGTTAATGCTTCCATTAATTAAACACAACTTCAGGATCAGGCCCTTTCAGTCACTGGTGGTTGGTGTCACTTAGCTGACCAGGAGTGCGGAAGAAGACATGTGCTGTGTAACCCAGGCTGCAAAGCACCCCCTGCTCTCGATGAGCAATGGAGCTGGATAGGAGTTTTGCTTAGTGTGGTGTTTTTTTGCTTTCTAGGATGAAGATATCTAAGTGGAGGTGGAGCAGCATCTCCAACAGTGTGAGATCACAACTGAAAGGCACCATGGCCCTTCTTCTTGTGGGCAATGTTGCCTTTGTGATAGCTCAGGTAAGCATGTTGCCTTGCTGGAAGGTCTCTGGGCTTTAAAATGGTGTAACGTCTGGAATGGGCAACCTCTGGGGCTTGCAGGACTGGTCTGTGAACACGTCAGGTCTCCAGCAAGCATGAGAACATATGACTTGTTTTAGTTCTCTAGTCTGGGCTTAACCTAAGTTGTATCTTCTCTGGCTGATAGCATGCAGAGATCCTTTCCAGGACTCTGAAAGGCTGAGCCCTGGTCTTTGGGTGAGCACTGCTTCCTTGGTCGCTGCGATGGTTGGAGCTTTCATTTACTCTGCATGGAATATCATTATGCTTTTCTCAGTAAACACAGAATGAATAGACCTCTCCTAATCAGTGATGATCCTGGATGGAAAAACACATTCCTTCCCCCGCAATGAGCAGTGGGTGGGACCCCCCATGAGGTTCGGTGTCCCTTGTGAATGGATGTGAGCACCTTACTGAGCACAAGTGTGTGGTGGTGATGCTGCCAGAGGAGCAGCTCCTTTGCCCTCTGATGCATGGTCAACACTGGCTGAGGGGTGGGAGGTGGGGGTGTCAAGGACCCTCCTGAAGTGACAAACCTGTGCTTGCAGGGAGAGCACTTGGGCTGCTGCAGCCTGCTGGCACCCACTGGCATGCTCTCCCACTGCAGAGTGGTTTTGCAAGGGTTTGCTTTAGCTTTCAGTGAAGCTTTTGGCTTCAACTGGCTCTTCAGCTCCTGAACTCACTGTAGAGCAAGATCGAGCACCAGAGAGAGTGTCAGAGAGCACCAAAAGTCTTGGAGGGTTTAGGGTTGTTTGGGAGCTCAGTTTTGCCAACTGAGTGAAACAATGAACACTTCCTTTCCTGAGGAATCCAAAATATTGCCATTTCATTCCAATTTGTAATGAAAACACAATTGGAAAAATGCAAGGTTTGTTGCAAGATGGAAATCTCAGACTTGACCTCAGATGGAGAGGGAAATGACCCTGTTGGCTCAGGGCAGGCTGGGCAGGGGATGTCCCCTGTGCAGGCTCTGCGGGGCAGATGCTGACTGCTGCTCCTCTCCCCCGCCTGCCTGATGCTTCAAGCAGGACCTGATGCAGACCTCCAACAGCCTGGAGGAAGGGGCTGATGTCACTGCATTCTGGTGGGGCGAGTGGACCAAGTGGACAGCGTGCACCAGGACCTGTGGAGGAGGCGTCAAGTCCCAGGAGAGGCACTGCCTGCGGCAGAGGTATGGCACCCTCCTGCCAGGGCTGTGGGAAGCTCCAGCTTGCTGGAGGTAGACTTGATCCAGAAGGTCATCACTCAGTAGATAAACACTGGTGGAAAGGTGTTTTCTGGCAAACCCTGCTTGTGCAGAAGGTAAGTGTGTCCCTGAGTATGCTGCTGTGAGGATGCTGTGCTCTGTGGATCCCTACCAGGAGGACCAGCCAAGCTATTAATAGAATCATAGAATAGTTTGGTTGGAAAAGACCATTATGATCATCTAGTCCAACCGAGAACCTAGCATGGCCAAGTGCATTCCTGTGCTGGCCTGAAGTTCCTCCTGCAGGGACTAGTGCAGATGGGTAGCAGACACAGCATAAGCCTGTTCTCAAGGCTGCTGGCCACAGCTGTGAGGACACAGTGATGCAGGGCTGGTTGGGGATCCGCTGATCCCAACTGATCTGTGCATGGCTCTGCCCTCTCAGGGTTGTGTGGTTGCCAGAAGGCACCTTGCAAACCTTGTCCCCAGCCCCCATCCCCATGATACCTCCGAGGATGTTGTTACAAGAATAGTTGATGCTGCAGGTAACAAAGCCAGAGAGACCTTTGGTATCAGCTCCCGTGAAACTGTGATTGATCTCTGTGTGGCTATGTGAAGAGCGATCATACAGAAGCAGGGAACAAATGTATTTAAAAAAGGGAAAAGAAGGATTTCTGACCCTGTCTAATCATCATTTCTTTATTCAGACGAAAGTCAGTGAGCGGGCTGGCTAATAAAACTTGCACTGGAACATCCAAACGATACCAGCTCTGCAAAGTGCAAGTAAGGATATCCTTTTTCTCATTGGGAACACTCAATACAAAATGTGAAAAGTCATGTGTGCTTTGTGCGGTGGCATTTCTGGGCCCCTTGGAGAAGGGACATCCTTTTTCCTGTAGCTGTCACTCTGTTGCCCCTCCAAGTAACTGGAGTTCCCTTCTTTGGTGCCCATCACCATTGTGTTGGGGCTTTGGGCCCTTTTCCTGTGCTAGGGGCCATAAAACCCAGTGGGTGGTTCTTCCACCATCTCCCAGCGAGGTTTCCCCTGGCTGTCCCTGCAGTGGGAGGAGGAGGAGGAAGATGTGGCTCTGGATGGGGCAGGCAATGGAAATGCTCCTTGCAGCTGGTCAAGATGTGCCAGAAACCTTTCCCACATTTTGTTTTCATCAGGATATTAATATATCCCATTCTAGGAGTGCCCTGCAAACGGAAGGAGCTTTCGAGAGGAGCAGTGTTCGTCATTTAACTCCCATGTGTATAACGGCAAAACGTATCAATGGAAACCTTTATATCCTGGTAACAAGACATTCTTTGTGTGTTTCATAATGCTTAGCCAAAATATTTTGATAGTTATGATGCTATAGCCGGCAGGAAGGCTCCTCCTCTGCGGTATTAAAGTGATTTTTCAGAGACACAATCAGCTGTCTCCCAAGTTCAAAGGCACATTTTGCAGCTGCAGGGTAGCTTCAAAATAAAATAACAACATGAATTTGTGGCTGTAGCCTGTGTTGATCAGAAAGCTGAAAGGCTGGAGGAGAATGCGAGAGCATGGGGTGATGGACTGTGCTGGCAGGGAGAGTCCAGCTCACCCAAACAAGTGTCCTTTGAGCTGGGGCCATCACTGACTGTGTTGCGTTTGGTGACATTTACACACTCCCACACCCTTCACGTGATCTGTCAAATGTCACCGAGATAGTCAGTCAGTTTGGACATCTGGGGTGAACGATGCAGAACTGCAGAAATAACTCAGGAGTCGGAGACTGAGATTTTAATTTCATGTTTAGGCATCTAACTCTCATCAAAATCAAGCATTAAACAAAATTTGTGGCCAATTTTGAGAGTTATTGGTAACCCAGGACCCTCCTCCTGAGGAGGAGGCTCCTGAGTGCTGGTTCTTCAGATTCACAGTGCCATTTGGGTGTCTAAAAATAGAGATAGGATCTAATGCAACTTTCTTATTTTAGGGGTGTCTATACATACCTAAAAACATCTATGCTTCATGAAATTACTTGTTGCCTCTTTTATGTGAAATAAGCCTCAGTCTCACCAGCCTTCTTGGCAGGGTCAGCATGGTAGAACTTGGCCCATGGCAGGCTGGTTAGCTATAGCTACTTTGGCTACTTTTGTCCCTTTCCTATGGCAAGGTGACAATTTCTTTAAACACATTTGCTCTTCCAGATGATTCACCAGAATAGTTACAGTGAATTGTTTTGTTTTTTAGCAGGCGTTCACGTGGCTCCTGGGGGATTTGCAGGATAATGTTTTGACATTGATGGGCATGCAGGCCAGTGGGTATATGACTGCTCACTAGTTGGTGGAGTTCAATGCTTAGCTTTGGGTTTCTGATGCAAATATTAATTTGTGATTTGCTTCCTGTGGATATTATAAAATGTGGGGTTACTGTGCCGGTGGACGCAGCCAGCCAGCTACCTGCAGAAAGCAAAGTGCAAATGAAGTCCAACTTGGGTGAATGTTTATGGAAAAGTTCTTATATTTTAAGCTGCTATGATTTTGAATATAGTCTCATTTGTATTGTACTTAGAACAATATATCCATGTTAATTTAACTCATGTAATCAATGTTGATATGTGAACATGTGTACATATGTCTCTGCTGCAAATCCTTGCACACAACAGTGGCTGTCACCACAGTGGGCTGATGTTGGTGATGCCACCAGTATCACTGGGGGCATCTGCTCCTGGCAGCAGAGAGGAGTGCCTGGCTGGGCAAGGGTTTGCAGCAGTGAGCTGTCATGCTGTCAGAAGTGCAATCTCCTGTCCAGCCTACAGCACAAGAGATGGCAGCTTCTGAACTGCCTGCTGCTATTGTTTAGCTTGACAGAGATTCATTGACATTGGTAGGATGGAAGTTATTGTGTTTCTGCTGTTTTGAATGTGTCTTTATATCCTTTCCCCTTAGATGACTATGTTCACATTTCTAGCAAGCCCTGTGACCTCCATTGCACCACTGTGGATGGTCAGAGACAGTTAATGGTTCAGGCTCGGGATGGAACATCCTGCAAATACACTGATTTCCGAGGGGTTTGCGTGTCTGGAAAATGTGAGGTTGTTAAACATTATAGCAAAAATATTGTTAGTAGCTTTCAGAAAATTACAATGGGTGCGACATTTGCCTGACCCTCAATACTCTATTTGTGCATTTCTTAGCCGATTGGATGCGATGGCATTCTCTTTTCCACCCACACCTTGGATAAATGTGGAGTTTGCCAAGGAGATGGGAGCAGCTGCACTCATGTGACCGGCAGTTACCGGAAAGGAAATTCTCATCTTGGTAAGACCTTTGGGGACCTTTTGCTTTATTTTTGTCAGAGGGCTGTTTTTTAGATGTACTTATTATTTGGTAAATTGCTTTCAGCTCTTAGCAACTGCCCTGCTTCAGTTTTTCCCAGATGTTCCATGTGTGTTAATGCCACTTGTAAATTTGGGCAGGGAAAACATCGTTTAACGAAAACCAGCAACTTTGCATGGTGCCTGTCATAAGCCTGAGGTCCCTGATGCTGAATGGTGCAAAAGGGTTATGCAAGAAGCTGGTTTTAATCTTCTTTCTCATGACCCAGTAAGACTAGAAATAAATGATTTGTAATAACAGGAAGTGAGGATATTTTGAAAGACCAGGACTTCCAAAATTTGTGTGATGTATAGCAATAGAACCTTCTTGTCCTAAATATAGCAGTCTAACTCAGGAATAATGATTAATGCTCTCTGAGAATCAGTTTAAGATGGAGCAAGCCGCAGGAACTTCAGCGGAGAACTGGTTCCATCACTTACCTAGTGCAAAGGGGAATTGGAGGAGAAAGAAGTTATAATCTCTTGCTGGGGTTTTGGGAAGCCTGGCTAGAACAGGGTTCAATTCTGAACCACAGGACAGCTTCTTTAGCTAAGAAAACAGTCTTCGGATACCTTTTCTTACACCAGTTTAGATAAATATGATATTTGTGCCTTAAGGATTGCATCCTTTTCCCACCTTGTTTGTGTTTTTCCACCATAAACCAGGATGCATAGTTGACATATTTTTCTTTTCTATTATCGATAAGGTCCTGCTTGCAGCCTAACAGTTATCAACATTAGGTTCTTTTAATTCATAACACCTTAAAAAAGAATTTTGGATGGAGGCCAGTTTGCTTGATATATTGCAATATTGACAACCAAGTGTTTCATTCGGATTATTTGTTACAAAGATCCTTTCATTAATCTGTAGTTTCCCATAGGCTATTCTCTGGTAACGC